GAGAGGCTGGCTGAAACTAGTTGATGGCTAAAGACCCCCATTCCTGTGAATACAATTAAACAACTAGAATCATGATTTGGTACCGGTACACTCTAGTTTCCTTGGAGTTGTAGAATATTTTGTTTTACTTTATTGATAGTGGGTAAAAAATACGGTTAAAAATACGATACGGTTGTACGGTCGATTAGACGAACCCGGGACGGGGACGTTCTCCTTGAACTGGGTAGGTCGAAAGACAAAGCAGCCTTTACTGCCGAACTGAAGGCAGCTGTTGAAGGCCAGGGCACCGTCCGTGCTCTTGAGCCAAAGACATCAGTCGAGGTTCGAGACATTGATTGTGTGTCGACGGAGGTTGATGTTGTTGAAGCCCTGAAGAAAGCTATCCCTGAGCTTGGCGGGCAAACGGCTTTTCTTAAGGTGTGGCTCACAAAACCGAATAGGAGTCAGCAGCGGATGGCGGTCGCCGAGATGGCAGACGCACATGCCAATAAGGTGCTGGCACTCCAGCATCTGAGAGTCGGCTGGGTCAACTGCAGGATCAGACGGAGAGTGGAAGTAAAGAGGTGTTTTAAATGCCTCTGTTTCGGCCATTCCTCCCGAAACTGCAAGGAACCCGACCGAAGCAAGAACTGCCTTCGGTGCGGGGAGGTCAGTCACATCCGTAAGGACTGCCAAGTTGAGTCCTGTTTCCTTTGCAAAGAAAATGGGCTCACTGACAAACACTTGAAGCATATAGCTGGGTCTGGACAGTGTAGTGTATTTAAATCTGCACTACAACAAGCGAAAGCCCTCCCACGAAGATAAGAATCCTTCAGTGCAATCTTGAGCGATCCAGGACGGCTGACGCACTTCTATGTCAGCTTGCCCTAGAACACAATGTCGTCGCGCTCTTAGTCAGCGAACAGTACCAGTACCATGATAGGCACCCAGCTTTTTGGTTCCCTGATAGTCTTGGTACTGCTGCATTCTGGGCGCGTAATGCAGCTAAAGTACAAGTACGGGGTCATGCGAAGGGCCGAGGTTTCGTTTGGGTTCGGTGCCGGGATGTCACTTACTTTAGTGTCTACCTCACTCCCAACGAGGCCATCCGTGACTTTCGTGAGAAGATAGACCGCCTGGAAGAGAGCGTGCGCAATACCACAGGACACGTCGTCGTGGGTGGGGATTTTAATGCTAGGGCTGTCGAGTGGGGAATGACCCTCACAAATTCCCGGGGCATGTACATTCTGGACTTTGCTGCCAGAGCCGGACTCGTTGTCGTCAACGAGGGCAACACGCCAACTTTCCGGCGCCCTGGGATGCGGGGAACGATCCCAGACATTACCCTTGCATCTGAGTCTCTTTTGCCAAAGATCAGAGCCTGGAGAGTCCTGGAGGATTACACGGCCAGTGACCACCAGTACATAATTTTTGATGTCCTTGATGGTCATCAGGGACGAGTAGCCGCGTTTTGTCAAGTGCCCGTTCGATGGAATTAAAAAAAATTGGACGTGGCAAAATTCAATGAAGCCATCTTACGAGGAACGCCGGTGGTCCCTCCCGCATCTGACATGGCTCACGCAGAGGCGGTAGTTACATCCATGATGGGACTGATCGTCTCGGCTTGCGATGATTCTATGCCTCGCAGGAGATCCCGGTGCAATAAGCGACCTGTGTACTGGTGGACTGCCGAGATTGCGGAATTGCGTCGGTTAGCATTGAGAGCGAGAAGACTTGCTACCAGGGCCAGGGAACCTGTTGACAGACGTCGTAAGTCGGATGCTTACAGAGTGGCTAGGAGGTGTCTTCGTCGAGCCATCAACCGGTGTAAACGCAGTTGCTGGGAGACATTAAGGGACGACGTCGATTCCAATCCGTGGGGCCTGGGTTACAAACTTGTAACCATGAAACTTGGCACCCGCTCTCCACCTTCCGTCATGGATGGGGCCACTATGGAGAGGATAGTCGAGTCCCTTTTCCCGGCTCACACGTTGCGCCCACTGAGGGATTTCGGAAGGGTGGATGACGTACCACTTTTCAGGTACTGGTTAAACCTAATGTTATTAAAATATATTTAATTGAAAATCAATTGAGACAAATGGAAATTCGCTTAGTCGGCAGGTTTGCTGCGGCGGGGGTATTTTAGTGAGTAGTCTGTGATAGTTTCAGGAGTCTCACACTACAGGCTGGCTACCTGTGTGCGTAAAAGCATTTTCCCTCCTCTCCCTAAAAAAAAAAGTGGGTAAAAAATGTTTTTTTCATTTGATTTCTAACACAGAATATAAGTTTTAGGCGTCCCAACACGTGGAAATTTTGTAGTCACTTAAATTCAAAGAGTAATTCGGATTAAATTATCGGTATTCTTGGAATTAAGAAAATTTCACCTTTGAACCGATGATTGTGGCTTCGATCAAGTTTGGTGTAATTTTATCCACCAGTCTGGTTCCGTGCACAGCCTTGGGTGGATTTAAGTTTCGCTAGTATAAGTATAGTATATAGTATAGTATGCTCTGCTCCTCAGTTTAGCATGGACCGAGGATAAAAAACCAATGCTACTATACAAAATCGACATATATCCAAAAATGTTTCTTGTAGGCTGTCTACTTATTGTGAGGTTTTATCATACGTTCAATTTAATAAGTCAGACGTGTCAAGAAAATTATTTTTTTATTTTTTATTTCAGAATTACAAAACTAACTTTACCATAAGGATTTAGGTTATTTCACTGAAACTAATTCCATTATACAAAATTTTTTTTCTCAACTTAGGAGGTTAAAACACGTTTCTATAAAAACAATTCCGGGCTCGTGCCTAGCGTCCTAAGACAAAAAAAAAAAAACAAACTGTGTTAGGCACTGTATATAAGCACTAGTTAAAAAAAACCAATAATTGCATGCGAATTGCGATGTGTTGCAAAACAGAATGTCAACTAATATTCGCTCTGTAGTTAGTAATTCGAAGGTAGTGCTATCCGGTGGGAAGATGTACTTTCAACAGAAATATGTTATCGTTTTTATAGAAACGTGTTTTAACCTCCTAAGTTGAGAAAAAAAATTTTGTATAATGGAATTAGTTTCAGTGAAATAACCTAAATCCTTATGGTAAAGTTAGTTTTGTAATTCTGAAATAAAAAATAAAAAAATAATTTTCTTGACACGTCTGACTTATTAAATTGAACGTATGATAAAACCTCACAATAAGTAGACAGCCTACAAGAAACATTTTTGGATATATGTCGATTTTGTATAGTAGCATTGGTTTTTTATCCTCGGTCCATGCTAAACTGAGGAGCAGAGCAGTGAGCAGTGAGAGAGGTTCACTCCCGCTGGCTCTTAATTGTGTCATTTGAACCAGATATTAAAACGACGATGACATTTCCGTGACTGCGGGAGACGACGATGATGTCTACACGGGTGCAGATATGAAACATAAAAATTCTCAATTTCTCTCTAAAGCATTATGAAGAGCTTAAAAATCAAATAATTTAGTATATTGAAGTAATTCATTATTATTTTATAAGGGACCGTCTTCCGGCATACGGCAGTTGAGTGGTGCTTGAAACTGCCACTCAGTTTCAAGTAAACCAATATAAACCAATTCGCTTTATATTGGTTAAGGGGAAAATTTAAACATTTTAAATTTAAAATTCTCATGTTATTCTTAAGGAGAATAAGTAAACTGTTGTAGTTTATAAGAATAAGAATAAGCATATGTTTAATGTCTTTCAGGCTACATAAGCATTGACAAAGTCATATAATCAGCAGAAATGCCAAGTCACTATTCTAAGTAGGCCTAAGGGTAATAGGCTATACAGTTCAATAATATCACATATCATAGGAATATACAAGTCATTAATAAGCTATTAATATTTTGCTAAAACACGCTTTATTACCTTCCCTGTAGCAGCAAACCTAAGTACTCGTTTAAACTAATGTTATTGAAATAGATTTAATTGAAAATCAAATCAGGCAAATAGAAATTCGCTTAGTCTGCAGGTTTGCTGTGGTATTTGTTAGATAGCATCATTAATTCATAGCCCAATGACAAAAATGGCATCTGGGTTGGAAACTATCTCGCTGGAATCAAACCAGCGACCTTCAGATTTGAAGGCGAGAACTAAAGGGTGCGCCAAAAAAACCTGACGGTTTCTGTTTTGTAATAAGTCAGCTGTTATACTAGCTAGAGACCTCATTGTTGTAGTGAACGATTGCTTATGTTATGCCATTTTTAGGTTATGTGTGGTAAAACATCACGTCGTCAAAAGAAAGTTACTGTCTAGTGTGGTGCAGTGTGGTGTGGCACTGTTTGGAGTCATCGGACCATATGTTTTTGAGGACGAAAGTGGGAACACCCCCCTGTCACTGTGAACTCGGAACGCTATTTGGAAATACTGAGGGGGTTTTTGGTTTCACAACTGCGGATGTTATGAGGGATAGACATGACAAACACATGGTTTCAACAGGACGGTGCAACTTGTCATACAGCCAATTATTCAATGTCAGTTTTGCGTGAACTCTTTCCCGGTAACGTGATCTCTTGGTTTGGTGATGTGCTGTGGTCAGCTCGATCCCCAGACTTAATTTTGTGTGACTGTTGGCTGTGGGGATACTTAAAAAGCAAAATGTTTGTTTAGAAATTTCAAACCATCCCTGAACTCAAGCAGTGTATCAGGGAAGAGATTGCTTCTATTCATCAGGCGAAGGTGACTGCAAATATGCAAAAAAGTGGGATGCCTGTGTTTAGCACAAGGCAATATAAACTGAGTGATATAATTTTTCATAAATGAAAATGGCATAGTAGTGTGTACAATACAACGTTATTTAATACATGAAATTGTAGTTTGTTCTTGAGTTATTTAGTATTAAAAACCGTCAGGTTATTTTGGCGCACCCGTTATAACCACAGTTTTTGAATAAAATGAATGCAAAATTATTCTTGACTGACTTGAACTACTGAATTTAAATAGTTAAAACAAATAAATAATTGACAATATTCAAAGGTACTCATTAATGTGCCCTTAGGTAAATGGACGTCTTGTATTGGAGGGAGCTCTTCGGATCCACTGGGGAGTGATCGGGGTGATTCACCTCAAGGAAGATGATGACCAGCGCACAGTGGTCACTATAAGGAAGCGGAACTCTTGTCGAAGTAGTGTATTTAATGTAAAGGTACATTGTACAATTATTATTGTTTACATGCTACCAACATTCACAAACTCAGGAGATCTGTGGGTCTCAGAAATGGGAAAATGTTGTAGAAAACATATTGACCATTATGATGTCTGCTGAAATGAGACAGTATGTTATCAATTAATCAATCAATTTTGTTATTGAGATTTCTTTAAGAAATACATTAGTGTCATATACAGATTGTAATTTGAATTTTCATCTTGCTTAACCATTTTGGTAGAAGAATTTCTTTAGTGAGTATTATGGTTGATCCATTTGCTCTGGCTATTCATATGTTCTGTTCAGGAGAGTAGAGTTTAGCATCGATGGTCATGCCTAGTAGTTTGGACTGTTCATTGACAGTGATATTGGTAGCTTCAGTTATCTGCAACTGAAATTCAGTTGTGTGTTTTTTGCTGAATTTGTGGATTTATTGCGAAATCATTTTGTAGACAGTAAGTTGTTGCTTTATTTTTTAAAAGAGGTTAGCGGCCTCTTTTAACCTTGCATTTACCCGTCCACATAGACTGTGCATGGAACGTTTACAGCAAAGCAAGGAGTGAGCCGGTACAGTACAAAGGTGAATTGTACTGATAAATTTTAGTGGCAGTGACCAGGATCCGAACCCACGACATTGCCTTGAGCCCGAAATCCGCGACGCTACCGACTGAGCCACCGACTCACTAACTGCTGACCCCCCCCTATAGGGAAGTAGCTATTACCGTAGGTCTCATGGTAAGACTTAGGCCCGGGATTTACTTTTTCATTTTGATGTCCCCAGAGGCCAAAAACACCATTCGTTCAAATTTTTATATATGTACTAGCTGTTGTACCCGTGCTTCGCAACGGAGAGGACACTGAAGCAAAAAGTTTCATTATGAATTCCGTTGTATAAAATAGTTAACATTTCCCTTTGGTTTCAGGAACATAACTCAATTGAAACTCTTAGTTTGAAAAATATCTTTCTTTGAGGCTAGGCTAACTTATAAGACTACTTAGTACGAATTATATGAGGTGCTGATGCATTTTTGTAAATAATGTACCCATACGATTCAAATTTCAAATGATAAGCTTACTTTATTTCGTAGAAAAACATAGATATAAAGTAAATAAGGAAAAAAATCGCACAACATAAAGCACTGTAGTAAAGAAAAAAAAAACAGTTGATATTGATTTCACATACAATTAATATGTTTTACCGTAGCTACTGTGCTTTTTCAAAGTTCAATCTTTACCTGCAGATCAGTGTGTATATATCACAATAATCTATAATATTAAAACGAAACAGTGTTTTTTTATTTCACGATTCTGAATCAACCACTCAATGGATTTTCATGATTTTTGTGTTGAAAGAAAGATAATTTTGAGAACTAGGGAATGTTGAAGCCATAATTTTAGTTTAGGGTCCCAGTTTTTTATAAATTAAGTTTTATTTTTTTTAAAGTCTAGCAGCCGACGCTAAGATTCTAAACTAGCTTTTGGCATAAAATAATTTGCTTAACATAACAGCTGTAAACATTCAGCTTTTGTGTCACAAATTCAGCATTTGGATAAAAATGTAAAGACATGCTAAGGTTGACTTATTTATATTATGTGTAATGCTAATCATTGATACGTTCAATTCTTCTGTAAGAGGATGACAGATTAATTAAATATACATAGTAAAATACTAGGATGTTTAAATTATTTTTTTAAAGCAATCTTTGTAATCTTCGATTTGTTTTAGATCAATATAATTTGTTTTAACTAACAGCTGGTTAAATATAAACTATGGAACTATGAGGTTATTCTATTTACTCTAATTTTGTCATTGATTTTAGGAAATAAGTAAGATTAGAGTTAATTAGACTACAGTTTAAACCAAAATTAATTAAACCACAGTACAAATCGAGGCTCTGTACACGAGTCTTGATAAAAAAGGATAAATGCAAATTATTTTACTGCTCCACTTTTCGGAAAGATTAGAAAAATAACAATGTTTACATGTTTTAATTCTTCATGGTAGCTTTTTGTTACAATTAATGTTTGTCTGCTATAACTTTGTTTGGATTAGGCCCGGAAATATTGATGTCATAAAAAGAAGATAAAGAATAATCAGGAATCACGATTTTAAATTACCACCACAACCTCAGCCGGGTTTTATACAAAGATAAACAGATTGATGACATAGATTTAACATAACGTCAACATTGACCTAGGATACTGCAATTAGACAAACCATCCTTTTATGAAATCGTGTTCAGTTGTGGTTACGTTTGGGGGTGCCTATATCAGCGCCTTTAAACGTGAAAATATCGGTTTTTATTTCAACTATGAATATATTGTAGTTTAAATTAACTAATATGGGAAATTACGATGTACATTTATTCAATGAGGGTGGGTAAATATCAAGGATAGAACTGATAACGGTATGGATAATAAACATTGACAATTACGTCATTAGCTTTACTAGCGTGTTTACTTTTTATATTCCTGCTATTTTCAAATGAATGTTATTTGAACCAAACAGCTGTTTCAAAACAAACTGTTATTGTTTTTACTTTTCTTTGTTTACACTTATTTATTTAGCAATTAATGCAGTGAAATTGATATAACGGATAGGTGTGACGATTAGTTTTGATGTTAGGACACCAAAGTTAAATTCTGTGTACTGTGAATTTTATTGGATATTATCGTTTTATTTTAGGTCGTTTCTATTCAGACCTACTGGAAATTGTGTATAGTAGTTGTATTATGGGGATAATAATTATGGAAGAGGCAGGTATGCTATGGAAGGTGGTATCGTTGACTAGGTCTATACACTTCTCAATTGACTATTACTCTCTCTACGTAAAAATCGTAAAAATTGCAGAATTGCTGTTTTATTGTAAAATTATCGGATTTAAAATGCATATCGTATAGGCCTATAATGGAATAAAAACATATTTGGTCACACAACATTTGTTTCCAAGATGATTTTTCACATTAAAACTGCAAGAAACTTTGTCCTTATATGTGTAAACTAGCAGATCTGAATTGTACACGGTTTTAACTGACTACCCGTACGTAGGACGGGCTAACACCTCGTAAGAAAAATAAACTAATGGAAAACTTGTATTACCTTGAGTTAGAAAGCCAACTACTACTATTGTTAATCAGGGCACAAATTTCATTAATTTAAATATAAATCAACAACATAATACATAACAGTTATTATTTTAGCGAATTTCCCATATAGGGAATAAGCTATTACCGTAGTACTCATGGTAAGACCTGGACCCGGGACCGATTTTTTTTTCATTTTGAGGTCCCTAGAGGCCAAAAACATCATCCGTTCAAATTCATATATATATATACATATATATTTATATATGTGTCCGTTAGCACGATAACTCGAGCAAAAATGATCCGATTTTGATGAAATTTGGTACAAACGTGTAAACCTACGTTTATTCAAACGAGTTCGCGAACCAGCATGATCGGACCATGGGGACGGGGGTTTATGGGGGGTTTTATGGGGTAAAAATGGGTTTTCCCATTTTTGACTCAAAATACATAACATTTTGCAATTTCTTTCCAAACTATTTTGTAGAGGTTAAAAAAAACTAATAATTTAGTATATTGAAGCGTTATAATGCACCTAATGGTTACGGAGAAAATTCAAAAAATTGGAAATTTAAAATTCCCATGTTATTCTTATGGAGAATAAGTTAACTGTTGTAGTTTGCTTGTTTATTAACATATTTTGCCCAAATTTGGAAAATGTTTTTATTTCTTACTAACTATTAACATTTTACATAAAAAAAACACTTTTACCCTCCCTGTTGCAGCAAACCTAAGTATGTGTTAAACTGATTCTATTTAAATAAGGAATGTGATATTTTTAAGGAGACATTTTAGTGTAAATCCAATCAGGCAAATGGAAATTCGCTTAGTCTGCAGGTTTGCTGCGGCGGGGGTATTTTGAAAACTGGAATAATTTTGGCTTTTAGAGTTTATTCGGAAAAATGCCTGAAATAAGAGAAGAATTTACTATATGTAGAAGAGGTTTTAAAATAGCAGGAAGAACTTTTTAACAGTAATAATTGATCATCATAGCCGGTAGAGTATTTGTTTTTAAAAGATAATATTAATTTTTCAAGATTTTTCTCATCAATTTGCTTGAATTTGAATTAGGGGTGTGCGAATAGTGATTTTCAACCTCGAGCCGAGCCGAGCCGAGCTTTTTCAAAAATGTTCGAGCTCAAGCTTTTTCGAGCCGAGCTTTTTCTAGCGTCACCTTATCTAAATTATTAAACTTTTTTTTCTTAAAAAAGTGCATAATAATAATGTTGAGTCAATTTTTACATAAACACAATGTTATTTTAATATGTTTAAAAACATTGAGAATTGTCAAGACATCAAATAGTAGATAATCACGATAAGAACTGAACTGAACTAAATTAAGATGCTAGAAATAAAAGGATAATTGAAGTGGAGTGCAGACTGAGACAATCAGATTGTCTTTCATAACAGAACAGCAACGCGACCTTGAATGACGACAAAACAACTAGCAAGTCGATTACATTATTATCTATATTGTAACTACAATAAATATTTAATTCTATTTTGTATAAATAAATTTCAATTTATAAATGGAAATTAAATGCTGATAATGCACCACACTATCTTGTCCTTGAAGAATTGTAGGAAGAACAGAATTATCAACCACAGAAGAAATCAAATACAAAGAAATACAAAGAAATCATTGAAACTACTACTATCATTAACTAAATTACTAAATCATTAACCTCTACTCTTTTTTGTAAAATTTCTATTGTAATAAAAGTGTACATTTAAAATTAATAAATTAAAAAAAAATCATTGAAAATATTACTGACCTGAAGAGGGTCAGTAATAAATATGCCATCTCTTAAAATATTAATGTTACATTTTGAAACCTTTTTGTTGTTAACCTCTGAGTTAATTAATTTCCAAGTTTGTTTTGATTCATTCTTTGAATTATTTACTTTTCTATAAAA